TAATTTTTGTTCTGATAAATTAAACATATGCATATTAAACCAAAATCAACCTATTCTCAACTGTATATTTTCTGTTACTGTAATTAATACCACCAAAAAAGTAGAACGCACAGGTCAGTCAAAGTCTGTCTGCATTTGTAGAGCTTACAAAACACAATCACTCATGGTGAACAGCTTGTTGGATGAAATAATGCTAATTGTAAAGGCGAGAAGGTGGTTGTTTATTGCGGCTAAACTGTGATATCCAGACTGGTGTAAGTACAGTGAGGGGTTAAGTGGTTCAGTGTGGGAGAAAGAAGACATGCAGCATTTTTATCCAGTCCACTGACTGTCAGAAGCTCAGCAGTGGTGGCAGTCTGTGATTTGTAGCTGTCTAAGGATTTGCCCTTGAATCAAAGGCGTCAGACATCTGTTTGTTGATGGCTCTGAGTCGTGTGTATGCCGAAGACCCCGTCCAACTGATGGCCTTATTCAGTGTAAATACGGTGCCTTCTTAGCCTACCTGCTGTTGCCAGCGACAGCTGTGCATCAGGCAGACTTGGCGTCCCGCCACTCTCCCCCTGAGCTTTTGAAAGCACTGTAAATGACATTTTTCCCATGAATGCAAGAATTAAAGAGTGATTCTGAAGTAGTTTTCTACATCTGTCTCCCTGTCTGTGTTTGTGGATAAACTCATATTTATGTGAGAACATGAACTGCTATTTAAAACCTAACTGTTGTTTTAATATTTAAGTGACATATTACATTTTGGGAGTTTGTGATTCACCCACAAATGACCATGTATGCAGCGTGAGCTAATGCTGGCAGAGACAACCAAAAAGTGCACACCTGTCTGACATCATTTCATACATAATGATGAGGTAAACAGGATGACCACAAATAGCCATGGGTGAAGTGTGTTGCCCAAGGACACAACGACCGAGACAGTCCAAGCAGGGGATCGAACCGGCAACCTTCCGATTACAAGGCGACCTCCCAATTCTTGAGCCATGATCGCCCACACATGGATGCCGCCCGTCTGTATATTGGAGATCCAATGAAGTCATTCCCAGGACCAAATGTAACTTTTAATTTTCCGCTTTTATTTGCAGCGACTGATAAAGCCGTCGGGGGAGCAATATACTTTTTTTATCGACTACAAAAATAATTCAGTCACGAGGTTTACTTTCATTTCCACAGCTGCTCTCTAATTTTGGTTCCAGGAAGGCCACTCATTTGTTATCGGAAAATGGGGCCAGCACACCTTCGCGATATATCAGTCTCCGGGACTACCGGTGGGGGTCACCTAGCAACCCCCTCCCCCTTCAAGTAACGATACAGCTCAAGGCCGTAGACACAGGGAAGCTATAAATGAGGCTGTTATGAGGCCGGCCACCTGCCCGTGGATCAGCTTAATGTTTTTTATAATCATCAGATACGTGCAGGTGCCATTCATCCACACCAGAGACAGTTTACTATAGAGATATCTGAGACACCTGTGACTCAGACATTTTACAAAACAATGACAGGCTGCCACAATCTGTCTGTACTCCCTGTTTTATTGGTCATAAACATGCATATCTGTACCCTCTCTTGTATGCAGCTCGGAAAAAATAGCATAATTGTGTCTGACACAGCCCTGACACTACCCTTTTCCATTCTCACTCTGTCGTCTCTCTTCCCTGTACGCGTGTCCCTCTAGGCCATCCTGCAAGCCATAAAAAAAACCCACAATTGCATGAAAGTGTTGTTCACCGTGGACTGAATTCCAAAAGCAGTCGACAACTAAATGTTTCCTAAAAAGAAACTCTTAGAGAGATGGCACTGCAATTGTTTGGACACTGCAGGGAGCAGTTACCTTTCTTGTACTGAAAAATGAGGCACTTCAGAGACATTTAATCCATATATTGGGAGGTTTTGCAGGATTTACTTTGCTTTGCACTTGTACGCAAGCAGCAGCAAAACAGCATAAATAGAAGATTGTTTCTAGCATTCGCTGCCACATTTTGCACAATATATGTGGGCTGTTGTTGTAGTGTTAACATGTATCATCTCTGACAAGTGGCTGTTTTTGTCCATGCAAATAGAAAAGCCTTTTCAAAGGATGCTGAGTAAAACACTATTTAGAATAATGTAGCAGCGGAGCAAAAAGGAGTACCTCCCTTAAAAAAAATATATTGCTCAATCTTTATACTTTTTTGTGTAGATGGAATAGGAGGTGATAGTAGGTCTGTTTTGGCTGGGCTACAGCACCTTTTAAAAAGATGTGTACTTTATTTCAGTGAGAAAGGCTAATGAATACTTTCATAACAAATGTGGTGTTCTGTAGTTTGCAATAAAAGAAGACTTACACTTACCATCCACCAAAGAAGGGCATTTGTGCAATAACTCCCAGACTGGTTTCACTTTGCCAAGCAAAGTAGAACGACATTGTCTGCATTCAAACATGCACTTCAAAGTCTGTCAGAACATTAGATATCAATGGACCCCCAATGAGGCCAATGGGGCCTGCCCACCGGGCCTGTCTCCAGCACTGGCAACATATCGGGGCCTCTTCCATCTGTTGCCCTCGTGCCTGTGTGTGTTTGCGTGTGCGTGAGTGTGTGTGTGTGCGCGCACGCTAGCCTACTCAACTCCCATCTCTATCATCTGCTGAACTCCGGTCCCTCTCTGTCCTCTTATTAGACTTGAAAAGACACACCAGATGGCTTGTGGGGAAAAAAAAAATCATAAATCGCCAACAAGGAAAGAGGCGCCACCCACAGCCATGGCAGGGCTCTCAAAGATTTAAGGCATACATGACATACTTTGAACACACAAATGTAGACACACGAGCCCACGCCAGTTCATGTTTGACATGCGGAAATGGCACGTGTTGGAGAAAAAAAAAGACAGAGCGCAGCAAATAAATTACAAGATCAAACCTTATTATCGATTTCTGATGTGTTCAGTCAACACGCTGCCTTGACTTTGTGACTACGAGTTATGCCAGTGCGGGCACTGCCTGCACAGTCATATTCTGCTTGCAAACCGAGTGGTCGGGTTTATATATAGACCTGCAGAAAAGCAGGTTTCAGAGGGTCCATGTATCAAACGCACTCAGGCTCACATTCACAATGATGCCTTCAGACATTCCAGTGCACCAGTGCAAAGTAAAACCGAAACTTAGTTCCCAAACCCTCTTGTTGTGCAACACTAAGGAAGGACAAAAAAGACTATGTAAATATTAAAAGTGTTCATAAAACTATAAGAAGCTTATTATTGTTGCTGTAGGAGAAAACAAAGCTGGTTGCTTTTATTTACTTTTCTGTCTTGTGGTAACTTACTGCTGACTGCAGTCTTACCAGGAAGGCATGAAAGTAGTAGAAACTCTTTAATGTAACTCACAGGATGAAGGGAAACTCAGACCACACTGCTGAACTATTTCTGTAAGTTGACCTTCAGCTGATATAAGATCAGAAGCTGTTTGGAGGTCAGCTGTGGTCTTTTGTTCTGGCATATCATAAAAAGTCCAGATAAACAGTTTCACTGAAGGACAACACACCATAGGATAAGTGCCTTTGTATCCACTTTGAAAAGAGTATAAACATTCAAGTCTTCAGAGAATCCCGTGAAGAAGAAGAAGTGTCAGAGGTTTCATAATAACAATAATAGCAGCTCACTTCTACTTTGGTCTGAACTCATCTTACAGGCAATACCCCTGATTCTGATTTGATCACATGTGATTCTAACCACTCTGTGGACTCTGTGTAACCTCCTTTAAATTTTTCTTTGCAGTACTGGAGCGCTCATCCTTGCCAATAAATTGCTCTGCCCAACGCCTGTGTAACACTCTCGTGTTTTGTTTTATTTTTGCTTTGGGCAGCTCAAGTCATGAGAGTTGGAGCCGACCGACAGGCTAAAGCTCAAAATACTGCATGGCACTTTGCAGCAAAATGTGGCATAGAGTCGCAAGATCTTCTGCGGGGTTTTTTCTTCAGGTTATTCAGGCTTACAGATGAGCACAACATCGTGTTAGTGGCTGCTTGCATAGCAGTAATTCAGCGATTTGAATTCCATCTTGGCTGCTGCCTTGAGAGATGCAAAGCAGTCTGTGAGTTTTAATATAGTGAAAGGACTTAAAAGCACATGCGTAGAGATGTCTTTGTACGCATGTGTTATAATCAGAGAAAACTATGTCTTTCTTTCTCTCTCTGCTAATTTTTCCAGGTATGACATCCACCACTTGAACAAGGCCACCTCGCCTGTTCCAGCATCCCTTAGGTGGTGAACTGGCTCAAGTGGCGTTTCTGATCCTCGCACCAGATGCTGTCTCACCTCCATCACAGGCAGGCTCTTTATTCAGTGACGCCTGAAATTAGATGGTGCACATTTAAGGCGAATGGAAATTTTGGTGGTGAAATTGGCACTGGGGTGTTTGTTGCCAGTCACCGAGGCTATGGCAGCGTGAAGAGAAGCACACTGTGGATTTTCTAATAATTCAGAACCAAATGGCTCTTTTGAGAGTACAAAATTTTCTTCATTCAACCCAGTTTCCAGCAATAAGTTTCTGCGTGTGTGCCGCCGTGCAGCCAGTCGTGCGTGAGGCAATCCTTTGTCTGTGAGTGAATTCACCATCGCCAAAACCAACATATGCTCTTGCATACAGCGATGCTCCTCGTGACCAAGCTGTTGTCTTGTCAGAGATAAGGGATCTGTAAAGAAGAGTGGCACTGAGGAGTGGAGGTTGTGCGGTCTGCCTCTTACTCAGGGTAAGTAAAGTGGCAAACAAGACTTATCAGTGTACTTTTTCCCACTCTTTTTATTTTGCTCAGCATCTTTTTCCCTCCTGTTTCACTATTGCCCTTTCCCTCCTGCTTCTGAGCAGCTCCTCATTTCCTTCTTTCCTCACCCCCCTCTCGTGCTCCTTTCATTGCTGCAGCCCACCCTGCTCCGAGCTTTAATGGTACATGCCATTAGAAAGCCCGTCTCTGGAAGGGAGGAGGGGGGAGGGTGGTCTCAGCCTCAGCTAAGAGGCTACTTTAGTCTCCCAACATAAGCACATTCACAGATGTCCCTGAACGGGCAGAGTCTCCTCACCCATCACGACAGAGCAGCCCGCTCCTGTGTGAAGCGACGAGCCGTGGACAGAGAGGAACGCAGAGGGATAAAAAGCGAGGTAGTGAGAACGAGGGCGGGAGGGAGAGCAGGAGAAAGAAGAGGTGAAGAGCCACAGAGCAAAAAGAAATACATCGCTGTCACTCTGACGTCTCCCCCCCCGTGCTCCCTGTTTTGGTGTGAATGCAAGAAGAGGAGAAGGGGGGAAAGGGGGAGGAAAATAAATCCCGGGAGCTTGAGTCGACTCTTTGCTTTATATTCCCATCTTTTTTTTCCTTTCTTTCTTTTTTTTTTCTATCTCCATCATCCAAGGCATGACGGCGAGTTTCAGCTGGCACTGCAGAATATAAGAAAGGGATGCTTTTTGAATGCCGCTTCTCTTCTGACAAGGGACAAGGAAGAGCGAAAGAGGGACAATAAACAGGATTTCTAGATTGATTGGGAGTCCCTATGCCGTATGCACTGGAATAGCAGGGTTGCTCTGAAGTCTTTCAATGAGGTAAAAAAAATAAAAATAAGATTATCTTTCTGTTTTCTGTGCGCCCGATTGGCTGTCATGGTCAGATATACATCTGAGAGGCACTTGAAAGCATGCACGTAGAAGCTTGACAGAGATAAACCCATTTCCATGCCGATCAGGTCTGGAACAGCAGTAGGGAGATTGCCATCTTTGTCCCTGGGTCGCCGTGAACAGCGGCACGCTGGAAGTGAGAGGGAGAATCTATTCGTGTTGCATGCCGCAGAGAGGCAGTTTGAGCAGGCTTTCTCTCTCAGGAGAAGAGTCTCGGTCGCCCTGATGAAAGGAATTGCTGATAATCCTCATGATGAGCATTTGAGTGCTGAAAGAGCAGAAGGGCAAGGAGAGATTTTCTCTCAACCAGAAGTGCCGCCACACACGGTCTGACTGGAATTTAGAGTCAGCTGGCAAATGGAAACATAAATTTACTGTGTATATATATATATATATAGATAGATAGATAGATAGATAGATATAGATAGATATAGATATTAAAAGGTCTAGTGAACAATATACATCCCCCATGAAGAGTATAAAAGAAGAGTTGGTAATGGAACAAGATGCTGTTTTCAAAAAAGCAAAGTCCAAGCACTTTCACTTGTTACCCTGGGGAGCTATACACTCCCTTCTAGACAGAAAATAACAACTTGTCCACACCACTGAACAAAAAAAGAGCATTGGCTTGAGAAAAGGGAAGCTTGAGTTAACTAGGCTGTATGTTCTTTTTTGTGACACCCAGCCAGGAAACTCCCAGCTCTTTGAGAAAAGATGTAACACTTGCTCTCTCGGCCAGCACAGGTGCTCGACAAACATGTGCATGCAGAGAATAACTGTACTGTATGTATGCTGTCATTATATATTGTGGGTTTGGGTGATGATTGTGATTATTAGATGTTTGTGTGTGTACATAATTTGAAAGGTGCAGAAAATAGTGCTCCATCATGGGGAAGAGGGAAAAAGAGTGCAAATTTGGAGTGTGTATTGGTAATATCAATATTGCAGGGTTCAGTGCTTACTTACATGTGTTTGCTGCAGGTTAGCTGGGAGTTCTTAGCCTACTAACAGAAGTGGAAAATCTTGCGCCATGTGGTTACAGGTCTGGAGGTCTGGGCTGTAGTCCTGAGTCCTTAGTCATGTGTCAAGACACATCAAGTTGTCTGTCCCTGGAAGTTCTGACTGGTACATTCACGGCATCCTCACACCCATCATGAATTCATTCATATTGGGCAAATATGCTTTCTCTCAGGCTCATATTAAAAACAAAAAACAAAAAAGTGACAGATTCGAAGAAATAAACAGTCCAAAATAAGTTGTTACACTTTGCTCCCTGTCTGATTTGGTGGAGTAATTTTTATAGTCTTTTTTTCAGCTAAGTGGTGTATTTATGTGCATTTGCAACATTAAATGAGAAATGAACCCAAAGCTGTGGTCGCTCAAAGGACAGTGTTTCTATTAGCCATGCTTAGACATACAGTTACAACACGGAAATATAGGCAAGTGTATAGCTCTGTTTCTCCACTTAATCTGTGTCACTGTCTGCATACATGACTGCAGCAACACCTGGTGCCTCTCTTTCCATTTTGTACAGTACGGTGGGCTAATGCTCACATGCAGTGAACCTGTGCATATTTGCTCCCAGCTGTTTCTCACACGGGTGTCGGGATGCTCGTGTAGCGCACATCTCCCTGACTGTGTATATATGAAGTCTCAGCTCAGTCTGGCAATGTCAGCAAATAGCATCCGTATCTCATTTATGGAAGCGGACGGCTTGTCATTTCGGTCTGTGTTCAAGGTTGCCCCCTCTTTGGCCACACAATACACAAAGCGCTCAGAGGCCAGAAATAAACACAAACACCACCACCTTCCACCTGCCACCATAGCTCATGGTTTACAGGACAGAGCAGAACAGAGTCAGATAGGTTTTACAAATCTACTCCTCTGGATTTATTTCCTATTTTTTTATAAAAACCTTTTACCACAATTACATATAAATCAAAATTATTTTTGTTCTGCGACGCTATAAAGCCAAAATTTCAATATTTTCCCTGACTATCCAGTTTCCTTTATAGCAGTAATAGAATGGCCTGAAAGCCTCTTTTTCTCACCATCTTCCAGAAGGTTGTAAAACCTTCTATGTAGAGTGCTAATTGGTAATGTAAACACTCAAATTTCTTTATTAGTAAACCTTTTCACTGGATAATAAACCTTGAAATGTTCAGAAATAAATGTCAGGAGCTCAAAAACAAAGGTTTTGAAATCCATATCACCAAACTTAGCCGTCTCCACACAATGGCCCTCATCTACTAACAGTGCGTATGCACAAATCTGTGCGTAAATGGTGCGTACAAACATTTCCATGCAGACATTGGCAAATGATTACAGCAGCATATTATCACATTTTTAACAGCACTGCTTTAATGTAAAGCGGCAGCAGATTTTTTTTAAACAGTGAGGACTTCAGAATAAAAGTCACTATAATTAACATATAATACACTATAGCGCCACTATCCACAATCTTAAAGAGGTGCAGGTGTTGAATGTCCATGTGGAATACACATGTTCATCAGCAGCAGCTCAGCAGCATTTCACACCTCATTGCGCGGCGTAATAATATGTATGAAACCTGACAAGACGGAGGGATTAGACTTTGAACAAATGTTTTGAGAGCTATTGAGACGAAACCGCGGAGGTTCAGAAACAGAGAGCACCACGTGGGTGGATGCCAAGCAAGTCTACCTACACTGAGAGCTTGCAGATAAAGGTTTTGGAGCTGGACAACTTTCATTTATGTTTGATGTCTGTTGGGAGTGTGTTGTAGGTTTCTCTTTGAAGGTAACCAAGCTCCTCTGAAGATTCAGTCATGGAGCTGCCCAGCCTTGGGCAACGGAGGGGTAAAGCAGTACGTGACAGTACATTGTCTTTATCACAAAGGACAGTGTATATGGCTTAACAAAGTCTAAAGCAGCCAGTATGTGTCTGTACAGAGTAGTATACTGTTCCCCATAAATCTCAATGATCATGAAAATAAAATAGATGAAAAAAATCAGACTGTTTGCCAGAAGGCTTTGTCACCTCTGCTTGCAAATATCACACACTGTTGTGAGCAAATACAACACCAAAATGTGTGCCTGTATTTCACATTTACATTGAAAAATGAAACTGCCTCAAAGTACTAGTATTACACCAGAAAGCGATGTTTATTACTTATGAATGGTGAAGAAGAAACTGACTTTCTGCCTATTTTTTATGAAAAACACCTGTTAATTCCTTTCATTCATTTTGTGCCCCCCTGCATCAACACCAATTATCCACTTTATTAAAACATTATTTTGCACCAGGAACAGAGAGTGTGTTGATTTTTTTTTTTTTAAAAACCCATCTTTATCTTCCACCCCTGTCTCTAAGTGTTCATGGTGCGAAAGCTGGGTAAGGATGAATGGAAGACAGATGCGATTTAGACTTGATTCAAGGTTCTTTGTTATATAAATATTTGTTTCTTAGCACTGTATGTAAAAGCTCAGTCTGGGCAACAGTGTCAAAAGCTGAACTTTTAATTGTATGAAAACAAATGATGGCACGGTCTGAATATGGCCCAAGGCAGTAGGTGGGGAGGGCGGGCTAAAAAACATGCCCTTTGTAATGAACAAGCATAGAAGCGAAGTAAAAGCAAAATGACAACTAAAAACAATCTGCTGGGCCTTGCAGCAGTGTTGTTGTACCTCAGCGGATTACACTCCACGGGGCACTTAAAATCTGTCTGGCTGCCCATTAAGACAGCCACTATCCTGGCTCATTAATGTCCTGCAGAGGAATTAGAATAAACGGTGCTCTACAGACTCACGTTGGCAGAGGCTCTCTGCCTTCTCTCCAGCAGCTTTTCTCCCTCCAGGGACAGCAGTTGTTTGCCCGCGGTACACCAGAGTAGCTTGGAGTGACCAGCAACACCAAATAATTAGATGCTCCACTCCTCCAAATGGCTGTAGCTGTTGAATTCATCCTGACTTGTTACAGCTATTTCAGGGACGATGCCAAATATAATCACTGTGTAGGATACCAACACTCACTTCAATGGGAAAATTGGGTTTGAAAAGCAAAGATTATAAGAAGAGGTTGGGATCTTGAAAGTAGCGAGCGATGACGCTCATAATCAAGTGCATTAAAGTCAAAGGAAAAGAGTGCCTGGAGGGGGACTAGATTAAGTTCTTCTTGTTTTTTGTTTTTCTGAGCAAGTTTTAGCATTTTTTAACAAGTGTTTAAATCTCCTGAAAGGTTATTGCTTCATAGCTTCTTACTTCTTACTTTTAAATTGCAGTTATGAACAAAAAAAAGGGGAAAAAATATATTAGATACCATAATTTGTCAGGTGGAAACCATTGCATCCTGTCAAATACATCACTATTCCTCAGGCCAAGGGAGGAGACCCTCAGCTTTGGTTGTTCTTTTTGTTGCTGCTGCCATGTTCTTGCGTTATAAATGCATCCCGCCACTAGATGCCTCGTTCACTAAATCAATGTCAAATGAAAATAAATCTGTTTTTTCTTCTTCTTCTTCTTTTTCATTTTAAACCAACAAAAGAAAATCAATGTGTCAGTTCAATAAACTACACAAGTATGTTTCTCTTCTTGCCGTATTGCTGCGGGGAAATGAATTCAAATTTTTCAACGAAAAAAAAAAGAAAGAAAGAAATGTGACATTTTACCAGCTTCAGCTAACGTGTTTATTTCGCATACGCTGAACAAGTTGGTCTGATCATTAATCAAATGAGCAACGGGGATTTGCTGCTTTGGCTTGTAATGCTGTTTACCAGTTTAATCAGTAATGCTGCACGATTCAAATAAGTTTACCCTTTTTCTTAATTATTTTGTTCTTGTATAATCTCATTATGTGTATTTGTGGCTAACCATAGTCCCTGGGGGAAGTTCTGCTGTTTTAGAAAAAAAAAAAGAAGGGAGAGAAGCTATTAGAGACAGCTGGCAGTGTGG